ATAAAATAATTAACATTTATTATTTAGTAAATTAAAATTAATTTATAAATAGAGATTTACATATATTATAACTAACTGTTGAAGAAAAAAAATTAAACAAATAAAACTACAATTAAAATTGGTGGTTTTAACAAAATCTTTGGTGGTATGAAAAATTGAGTTTTCAAAAAAAAAATTCTCTCTAAATGAAATATTACACTAGTAAATGCATATAATATCTTAGAGACCTCTAAATAAAAAAAATAATTATATAATAATATATCATATATGCTATAAGTTTATAATGCTAAGTAACATTATAATTACAATATTTTTAATTAAAAAAATAAAAATCAAGTTGTCTATATATTTACCTTATATTTATATTGAAAAAAATGAAGAGGAGAGAAGCAAAAGGCAGGGAAATTTTTTCCCTCCATTCCTCTCCCGTCCTCTTTTTCTCATTTTAAAAAATAATTAAATTAAAATAATAATAATAATAATAATATTTCTCCTCTCATTCCCTCCATTCTCTTTCATCCAAACATATTATTAGATTTTCAAAATTACTTATAAAATTACTCTAATACTCTTAATAAATTTTTTTATTAATTTCTTAAAGATAAATAGCTACATCGCACAAGGCCTTCTCAGAAGAGTTCAGCTTTCTTCCCTTCTCTTGTGCTTCCTCCTGACAAACGCAGCAAAATTACTGAAAAACTGAGAAGAAAAGTAGCCACATCATAAATAAAAAACTGATTTTTAAAGGAGGTTGTATATTAAAAATATAATTTATTTTATAAATTTATTAAATTATTTTTAATAAAATAATTTTTTTATTAAAAATATTTAAATAAATTATAAAACTTTAATGCACACCTATCCTAAAAAACTTGAATCCTCTCAGAGGACCCCAGCAATCCACAACACATAATATACCCAACATATTTCCATACTTAACAAGAAGGATTTTCAATTACAAATCCAATCCTACAAAGTTGCAACATTTTTCCAGACATAAAAATCACGTCTCCTTTTAAGACTTCTAATTACATATGGATACCACTTTGTTGCAACACGAGGATCACAATCAAATTGCACCCACTAAAAAACCCTTAGGAAAGCAGATCAAATAATTCTATTAAAGGACAAACGGCTGCTCCCGATATTTTAACATATTGAACCTGTGGTTACTAATATCATGAAACATTTGACGATCGAGTGAAAAAGTTCCTTCATCATCCTGATCACTGCAATATCCGTCTCCAAATCAGTAGACAAAATTTCTGCACAGCATCTTTTTTGTTTCTGACAAAGAGAAAGTATAACCATGGAATCAACAGAGTTCCAATAAGAAGCTATTAGTCTCTATCACAGCAAACGAAAAATCATGATATCCAATCCTAACTACACGATGGAATGGACCTAACTAGGTCCCACATCATGTCCCACTTATTTTATGGCTGTAACTTGGACGTCTCTATTTTTAGTTTCTACTAATTAAATACTATACTTGAAATGAAAGAAATGTCAACTACTGCCTATCCCCTCGAATTTTTATTTAGAAAACAAAAGTGAACACAAAATGTTTGTTCTTTACCTTCTAGGAAATTTTTAACATAGACCTTCTCAGGGAAGTCAGACCAGCTAAAAGGATCAAAATCCTTAAGTATTTCCTTTCCCTGTTGGACATGTAAATACAAAATTAAGATAAGCCTCAATGTTACAGATTTCTACAATTCACATTCCAATTCCCACTTAGTAAGATATATTCATAAAAATAAATAAAATAAAATAAAAACAGATAACCTTGGATTGCATATGCAAGTCCCATATAACCAAAAACTTCTCAAGATAAAATGCTGAGGCCTTTTTCTTTTGTTTTCTTTTTCTTTTCTTTTTTTTCTTTTTTTTGCACCAAAAAAATATGTAACCAACCTTTCCAGCAATAAGTTTGCCTCCTTCCCACAAAATGGCAAGAACCAAATGCTTGACTCCAACCATCCCATCACCTAACATACATTCAGAAAATTATAGACACGCTTTAAGTTTTTCAAACTCTAAGCAAAGGATTAATTGATCAAACATCAAAAGTATAAGAAACAAAATAAGCTTAGTAATAAACGGCACAAAATTACCTATGTAAGACGCAATATCTTTAGCTTTGATATAGAAATCATAGATAGGGTATTCTGCTCTGTATTCATATAAAAAATTCAACCCTGCATCCCTAATTGCTCCCCTAACAGCATCAACCATCCTTGTGCGGTCAAGTGCCAGAAGAATATGACACGCCTCAATGAAATTATGGCCCTGCTGCCTTCGTATATAATCAGCATAGATAACAACCTCAATAACCTCTTCATCAAATGACCCTGGCCAGGCCTTATCAAATAGAAATTTGATATTATCAGCATTGGTTTCAAGCTGGAAAAAAGAAAATAGAAAACCATCATCTTATAATCAATGTTGTACGTCATGATAAATCCAAAGAGGGGAGCAATTTTTCTTAAATTAAACCAAAGAATGTAACACAAAGTAGCATGGTCGTGTAAGAAGGCCAGCCAGATTGTCTGAACCACAGAGAACTATTGTCCTAATGGTCACACAACGCCGAGACAGAGATTCAAGCAAATGAAAGGAGGAAAAGTACGCAAAGAGTATTACTCTTTTGAGGAAGATCGAGTAGATCATGAAGTGAAATGGGGAAATGGCATCATCCTCCCAGTCCTACTTGAACCCAATCTCAAAACTAAGATTTTCATGAAACAATAGTAAGGAAAGGGTTCTCAAAAGTTGAGGAGAAAACACTGAACTACAATTTTTATGATACAAATCAAACTAATCCTCTCTTGCCTAACATTCCATCCTCACTACAAAAGTTTCAAAATTTGTAATAAAAAAACATAAAATATTTACTTGAAACTAGCAAATAACCAATTAAAACTTTTTTTTTTTTTTTTGAGAAAATGCAAAGACCAATTAAAACTTTTGAATGATATCCATGGATATATATAAACAGGAAGTATTATTCAGTCCAAGGCAATCAAACTAATGATCGCAGCAACCCTTCCAAATTTTCTGTTGTGGCATCAATATCTTCCTGGAATACAATCAACACCATCAGCAATTCAAGAGTAGACAGAATGATGACTGAGCAGGAGACACGCAAATGCTTACATGGAATTTGTAAAATTAGAAAATATTAATGCAAAAAGAAGGGATCCACAACTCCATCATCGCTCTTATACCGAAATACAGTCCTAATGTCCCTACCCCACCAGTGCAATGACAGACATCAACCACATTCTTTCCTATTCCTTCATCCTCATATCACCTTTGATTTGTACTTACTGTACATGAAGTGCAAATGAAATCCAAGAATGATAAACAAAAAAAAAAAAAAAAAAAAAAAAAAAAAAGGGTAGAACAGAAAAGAAAACATCATTTAAAAAACAGGAATTGGTTACAGCTACATTTTACAGCACAACATGCAACTACAACCATGCAGTGCAAATTTGATACTCTTCACACTTAATTGTGCTCAGAGGCACATCATTTATTTTCATTAAAAAAAGAATTCATTGAAGGAGCCAAATAAATATATAAAAATGGAACATTGTGATGACAAGTGGTTAATGAGAAATTGAGAAAAAGATCAAACCATCATAAATGAGGAGCTGTTATAAGTAAATTATCTAAACAGTCAATGAACATACCTCAATAAGCACATATAAAACCAATTCAAACTAAAGAGCAAGAACACGTTAAACCAGAACACATGCATCATAAATAAATAAATCCCAGGATCCAAACTTCATTTTAAATCTTCCAAGAAAAACATGCCCTCCACAATACTGAAAAAATACACCAAGTATCAGTGCACATGGTATACCTGTTCACGTCTGCCCCACACAACATGATACAAATTAACAAGAAACAACATCATCGAGAATACTACCGATAACCTCTATAGGGTCAGGGGTTGGAACAGATTCTTTCAACTCTAGAATCCTTGTATCTTTCAACAATTCACAGATCAAGAAGTTTTGAACATTACTACGTTCCCAACTTAAAAGTCCCTTGTTTAGATGACATTTGTCTTCCCCTGTAAACGACAAAGAACAAGTTTGATCCTTTAGAGGTGAAAATAGACATGTAGAACTCGTGCAACAAAATACATGTGTGCAAGTGTTGGGGGATTGAGGGGGGTTGTGCCAGCAAAACAAATAAGTAGCCTGCGAAGGATGAGATTAGCTTTTGTAGGAAATGAGAAAACAATTGAAGCAATGAAAAGAAAAACCAAAAACCAAACCAGATAATAGATGAAAACATTTAATGAGCTTCAAGTACAAAACATAAATGTGGTTAACATTCCACTTGATCATGTCATCCTTGTACCTCCAATGGGGTGCAATCCCGCAAAGCATTCTTTGCCATAAGCATGTCATCAACTCTGGATGTCTACATCAAGAATCATTGTTATAACAAAGCATAATAATATCAGAAATAAGGACCAACACCTTAACTTCTAAACAGTATTCACCTTCACTGCATGTACATAAACATTCGGCACCAGAGGCTGCAAAAGGCAATGTTAACAAAAGTATTAGATATCTCAGACTAAAAGGCATATCAATTCAGAAATATGAAAGAAAACTTCTAGTATCTTCAAAGAATCCATAAAGAAGAATGCCAGAACGTCCAAAATATCATGGTTTAAATGAAACATGTTCAAGAGAGTTGCATGTTCACCTTACAAAACATTAATAAACTGCAATTGGATTTGCTGCTAAAACCGATAGTTTAGTGACAAAAAGATAAAACGCTTTACTATCTGTTTACATCTTAAAAATAAATTAATGAAATAAAGACATGTGTTAGGAGTAAGCCCAATCTTTAATGGGAGTCATTAAGTTGGATTAGGCTGATTTGGGTTGGGCTAACTTGGAATTCAATGGCCCAGACAGATTTATAAGGAAGTTGGATTTCAAGTGGCAAAAGATAAGTTGGGTTATGGTATTTTGAGTTTGATTTAAAGTAGGAAGTTAAGAGTTTTTAGGTAGTTATCTTTAAAGTTTTGTTGGAGATAAGATTAAATAAAAATTATCGGATAACTGCCAGACATGAAACTCCCACTACTTGATCATGGTGGAAGAGGGCCGAGAAACATGAAGGAAGTTTCCTAGCATCGAAGGAAAGAAAAACAGGGATAAGAAATCAGTTTCAGACGGCCTGCCCTACACACACATGCACTGCCCAGAGCATTTTTTTCAACTTTCATACTGCTTTTTCCAGATTTCAACAATAGTTTTCAGATTAGTTTGCAAGATCTATTTTTGTTAATAGCCTTAGTTTAGGTTTTTCCATTCTTATTCATATCTTTCCTCAAAGATTTCAACTTAGGTTAGTTTTTAAGCATTTGAAAGCAATTCGACCTTCAAAACACGTTTGCCTTGTTGATTTGGTTAGTTTCTCTTTTTTTTATGGATTCAGCTATGTTATTTGTTCATATAAATAGGTTAAATGCTTTCTACCTTTGTTTTTTTGTTTCTGCACAACAACCATACATACAGTTTATTTAATTTTAATTTCCATATTTAATTTTATAAGTTTCCAAACTTTAATTATTTCGTAGATTCCCTTTTAGTTTTAGTTATCAGCTATCTTTATTTTAAATTTGCAAGTAATTAAGTTTAATTGTTATGGATTGTGTAGTAGAAGTCGTTGTCTGTGATTTTACATTTTTTGTTATCTGTGAATTTTATTTTTATGGCATATTGTTTTCTTTTATTGATCTTATGTTAGATTAATTGCCTTAGGATTTTGTGTAAATTCTAGGAATTGTAACTTTTATTACACTTTTGTGGTTATAAAGTTCTTAGAGGTTTCCAAGGCAATTAATAACTCATTTTGCAGAACTCTACCCTCTGTTTTACAATATCGTCTGGGGTGCAATTTATTTTATAGACGTTCTTTCCAGCCATCCCATTGGAGGTTATCCGTTGGAAAAGAGAAGGGTCGTTTGGAAAATCTTGTTTTCTTGTTTTTAGACAAAGCAAGTGGTACGCCTAACATCTAAACTCACGTTGCAAAGGCCGGCTGAGGATTTTTGGGAAAACACTATCACTTATGTAAAAAATTAAAAATGGCTCTAGTCAAAGAGCTTCTTTAAAAAAATGTATTGACATATATATATATATATCCTCGGCTCAGAAATAAACTATCTGAAGAACTGAAACAAGAAAACTGAAAAAGTTCCAAGGACCAAACTTTATAGGTTTGGCGAATTCCTTTATTGAGCAAGACTTCTGAAAATGAAAATACATGCAGCAACACATCAATCCTAAATGTCCATAACTCTTTGCAATCCAATTGGCTATGACTCTTGCATGGTTAAAAAAGAAAAGAGGGTGAAGAATATCCAATTTCAATGATCATATTATAAGACCTTAATTTGTTGGTACAATAAAAATAAGAGAACAAAACTCAAATAAGAGGTCTTATACTTTTTATACTTTTTCTTACGAATTAAAGCAGACAAAAACAACTTTATTGGGATTAACTAATGGGCAAAAGGAAATTACCGTCACTGAATCAAAACAATAAATCTTGTCATTGCAGAAGGTTAAGAAGCAAATCTACAGAAAAAGAAAAAAGCATCAAGAGTGTGATAGAATTTTGCAAATAGAAGATATAAAGAATTTGATGGTGTGAAGGAAGCACATAATAGTCACCTTAAATATAAAAATAATATCTATCTCCGATAGAAACTTATAATTTTTTAGATCCCAGTTCCTTTGAGCAATACTTTTGACAAGACTTATTCCCTACAACAAAATCAGAACAATAGGGGCGAGCAGTTAGAAGCCATACAATTAAAGATCAATAAAAAAAAAAGAAAAAAGAAAAAAGAGAGCAGATTCTTGAACAAAATTAAAAACACGGTACTGTTCCTAGTACAAAACATTTCTTCTGTTAGAAGAAGAAAAGAACTCTCGGGTTTCGAATTGATATGCTCTTGAATTGCTACTCTCAGGATGTCTAACTGCTGGTGAAATTCTTCACATTCCTTAGTGTAACTAGGTTCATTAACAATTCGCCTGAAATCATCCTGTGTTACATATTCCTTACAAGTAGTGTCATCAAAAGTCTTATTTGATGGTATGAGAGTTATGAAAAAAAGGGAGGAAGTTCGTTGTACATATGTTATGTCAAAATTGAAATATTACTAGAGTGTATCAAAAGGTTGAAAGGAAAAGCTACCTTATCATAAGTACGCAATATAAACTTAGTAAATGCATATGCCAGTTGCTTCCGAAAAATTGGGCAATTACTGCCCAGTTGTTCAAAATATTTCCACACAAGCAGCTCCCAAATGCCTGTAAATAGTGCAGCTATCTCGAGTACAACAAGACACACTTGAATAACCTGACATGAAAAAGGCAACGAATTAGTTAAAAAAGGATTCAAATAATTTATTATTTTAAAAAGGCCTCGGTTAATTTATACAACCAACAAAGAACAAAACAGCAACAAATAAGTAATAAAAGAACGAACCTTGGCCACCGGCGACTCATGGATCTCGCGCTCTACATAGGGCTTCAATTCTCTTAATTCCTCTTCAAAGCAGCACTTTAGGTGGTGTCTCTCTGAAAATCAAAGCAAAATAAAAATTGGAAGTCTCCTAGACGAAAAAATTCAAATAGGCAAAATGAAAAATCAAACTCCGATTATGTACCATAATCCGGTAACTCGCATACATGAGGCCAAGAACCAAATTCTTCCATCGAACCCGAACCAACTCCAATTCCAACGTGTAGAAACCGAAGTTTCTTCCGTCACTTGTCACCCTCCCAAACCCTAGGGTTCGTTTCGCAAACCTTTGTATGGCAAAGAAGCTTACCTACCAAGTTACATAAAGGTTTTTTAACCCTTATTTATTATAGTATCCATAATTAATTTTACATAAATTTTTATATAAGTTT